CTTGAGTCCCTTGCAGGCAAGCAGTGCGTACCACCAGTAAACTAAGCAGTCAGCTAATTTTAAAAAATATGTATATGTATACATACACGGAACGTGCTGACATCCTAGAGTTGTTCTGTGTTTTCCTCAACCATCTCGTGTTTGGGCAATCTCTCAGTGTGCTGAAGTGGACGCCTACATATTCCAATCAGTTCTCTGCCAGTGAGCATTTGGCTTGTACCTATTGAGTTGATCAAAACAAAACAAAATCTTCCCAGCTAACTAGAGGCCATTCTAGAATTCCAACCCTTGCTGACTTCTCCAGGCTCTGCTGATGTGTTGACTAAACACCACAGGACTCCTGTATTTAACCAACAATAGTTGCATTTCCCCCCCCCCCCCCAGAGTTCTTCCCTTTTGCATTTGATCTCTAGCTTTGCTGGAAGGTCCTATTTCCTGCTCTGTAATTTCCCTTAAATTTTCTGCGCAGTAAAGCCAGGCGGAAGTATAAAAGTAAAGATTTAAAGGCTGAGTGCCAGCCACATGACCGATTTGACCTTCATTTGTAATCTGGAAAGACACTTAGATGCCATCTCCGTGGTAACCGTTGACCTTAGATGCTGCTGTGCCCACCCACTGTTACAGCAGTAGAAATCTGAGAACAGAGCTGCCCTGACAACCACACATCTTAAGTAAAGAAAGGCGTTGACCTGGGGTCTTTGCTTGTAGCGGAGTAATCTTTCAGTCACCTCCAAACACTCTTACCTGTCTTCAGTGGTGTTTAAAAATGATGGCAGCTTTACTTCCTACTCAGGAAAGTTGGTTTGCATACGGAATAAGTAAAGGAACAATTTGACATAGGATCTGAGAAAATCCCAGTGCTGGGCCTGGGAACCTGGGGCCAGGTTTCTCCGTTCTGTTCAGACACTAACTGACTCATGGGCTTCTCATGGGAAGTCATGCGGCTTCTGTGTGTTTCTGTCATTCCAGGCACAATCATAGCACACTAGACTGATGAGGTAATTCTAGTAAAAGCCTGTTAGTTCTTCAGATGGCAGCCATAGATGTATCTAGAAATGATACATGGCCAGATGCCTGTCTCACACTGGCTTGTTAGAGGCAGCTACACATCCAACTAAACCCACTATTGTTATCAATTAGCCAGAATTCCCTCACATCCCTCTCCCTGGTCTGTCTGTCTGTGTCTATGTGTATGCTTGCAGTAGAACCCAGAGTCCTGTGAATATTGAGTGATCTACCTTGAGCTGTGTTTCCAATTTCTATTCTTAACCTAGACGATTTGGTTTTCTTATCGTCTAGTTCCTAAGTTTCGGCAGCCTAATGTCTTCTAATTACTTAAGCCTTCTGCTCAGTGGTTTTATCCACCTAATGAGGATAATAGGGCTGTGATGAGATTAAATAAGTTAATATATGCAGAACACAGGCTGGTGCACAGACGGTGCCCAGTGAGTTCTAGATGCTCACTGTAACCCTGAATAGACCTGCTCTCTCTCTCACACACATACACACACACACACACACACACACACACTATTTAAAATAATTAGCGCTCTCTCCCTCACCCCACCCCCTCCCTCTCTCTCTCTCTCTCTCTCTCTCTCTCTTTTTTTTTTTTTTGGTCCAGGCTGGTCTCAAGCTCACTATATATCCCAGGATAGCCTTAACCTGCCCATCTTCCCGTCTCCACTTGCCAAGAGCTGGGATTCCTGGTGTGTACCCCAAGATACAATGCTGGAGGTCAAACCCAGGGTTTCTTACATGCTAGGCAAGCACTTGGTAACCTGAGCTACACTATGATGACGTTTTCTGTGGGGTTAACAAGGTTTTTTAACTTCTGGTGACACAGACCTGACAGTGAAGACAAGCCAGGCTTTTTAGGTCACAGAGGCTCCCAGTTTCCACGTTTTCCCCTTAAGAGTTTGCCGTTACCTCTTCCTCCTTCTTTCTCTACTATCTTCCTTCCTTCCTTCCTTGTCTTTGAGACAGGGCCTCATGTAGCTCAGGTTGACTTTGAACTTACACAGCCTAGGATGGTGATGACCCTCTGATCCCAGGCCCAGGTTACCGTGCCCAGCTTAGCAAAGCTGCTTCTTCAGCTGTCTGGGTCAACACTCAATCCTGAGCACTTGGGACTCACTCCATCGACACTGGCCGATGCGCGAATGAGTACACACAAATCTATCGAAAGGCCCTGAGGAAAGAGGTCTGCTCGGAGGTTCAGGATTTCCAGGAGACGGGAGGGGAACAAGGTAATGGAGACAGAGCTGTAGGTATGGGGATGAGAACCCCCGAGGGTCAGAGACCCCCAGGCCTAAAAACCAAAAGCAGAAGGAAGCTGTGCAGCTGGACCAGCAAGCCCAAAGAATCACCAGGCTTAGTTTTTGCTTCAAACAAAGTCTGTTGTCTTCGGAAGGCGGAGGAGGGCATTTCTTTTCCGAGGTGATCGTCCGCAGAGATTTCCAGCCTTAACAAGGACCATTCTGAAGGTGTCACAAAGAGCACCCTATTAGAGTGTCTGCCGCCCTGAAAATGAACCCTGTTTCTTTCTACTCAGGGCGTCTCCCTGCTGATGGCAGCCTCCCACTGTGACCCCCAATAGTTTCCCAGCCTCCCCGAGAGTAAAAGCAGCTCATTGTTTCAGGGTTTCCTACCTCGTTCCTAAACACACTCCTCCTCCACGTGCTCCCTTCCTTGCCTGCTTTACTCAGGTAGAAATGGTTCTCAGTGAGAGTCAACGCGCACGCACGCCTTGAGACCCCTGTCTGAGCACAGGGCTGTGCTAGATCACACGCAGCACAAAGGCAGGCGACTGCGCCTGCCTTCGAGAATCTTCTATTTGCTTGTAGATTCATATAATGACAGACGTAGTTCTTCAGTAACACTTTCTTTTTCTAGGCTGTAGATTTAACTTGATATATGTATGATCCAGAATCCGGTTGAAATTGGATGTAAGGCCATCCATTAGATGTACCAGACGTCTCTAAGACACCTTCCGAGTACCCCTCCCTACCCATCTCTCTCTGCTGTGCTTTTTTATCTCTCGACGCATGAACCGTTTTTACACTATGTGCTGTTTATCTGTGAATGTGCCAGCCACTATACAGAGAGGGGGCAGGAGCCCAGGAAAGTGCCCAGGAGTGGGCACAGAAGGCCTGGGCCTGAATTTGAAGCTGGTCCCGGATACAAATGGACCCAGACATCTTGGCCATGTCACTTGAGCTCTGATCGTCAGTCCTACATCTAGAACAGGAAGACAATTAGTGCCCATTTCATCAAATAGATACAGAAACTAGTTACCGTTTGAATGTGCTTTGGCCGATAGTATTTACATGTAAATAAGCTAATTTTACAAAGGACCTCACCTGCGAGAAAAACCCTATTAGTATTAATGGAATTACCGAAAAATATGCCAATCCCCTAATGGCATATTGCTATTGGTGGCATTTTCCGCCCGTGCTTCGAATTGTTAGCGGGGCTTATCTGTAATGCCTTATTGGGTCCAGGGAGCAGTGTTTTAAGGGATTAAGCAGAATCAAAAGGGAGGGGTTTGTCAATGGAGATAGTAGGGTCCTAAGCGCCTGCTCTCAAGTTTCCTGTCTTCCCTCTCAATGGCTGATGAAAATGGGGAGAACCTAGTTGTACTAAGTCAGATAGATCTGGGTTCAAACTGCGAGTGCGCCTTTCCTATATCTGCCGTTTCAGACGCTTTTCTGGGCGTCAGTTCTCTCATCTGTAAAATGGAAACAACGCAGGATTACGTGATCAAAATTAGACTACAGTGTGCTAAAGTAAGATGCCAGGAATTAGCAAGCTAAGTAAGCTCAGCATTAACCAGGGTAGCATTCACCTTTTAACAGAGCGGCTGCCGTGAGGGTGAGCATCACACAGGTGCCAGGGATGGACCATGTCATCTCTGTTAGTGACAGTTGGAGAGTGGCACACAACGCGAGGAGAGTTATGACATGGATGATATGCACCGCTCTGGAAACGGTTGGGGAGGCGCCCATACGACCGCTCTGCTTGGGAAGTTGGCAGTAACTATCAGGGAGGCTCTCTGGAGCCACTGCTGTGGAGGGGCTTAAAGTCACAAGGACAGAGAAACCACAGCGACAAGGAGGACCAGCAACCCACAGGTCTGAGAAAGCATGCCCGTATCTGGGAACGGAGAGGGTCCCCACGAAACGAAATTCATAGAGATCTACGTGCGTCGGTGGGTAGTATCAAGTTAAGAATGGAGACTCTTAAAACTGACCTTCAACTCTGGTTAAGCCCCTGCGGGTGCCTCTTAACCCGCTGCATCCCGCCCACCCCCATAACTCCGCGGTCACGCAGCTGTAAACACCTCTCTCTCTCTCCGGGTCACTGCGGGCGGGCTGGGGGACTAAACGGGTGCGCAGGGCAAGTTCGCTGCAAGCCAAGTTTGCAACCACGCGCGCGCGGCGGCACAGGCAGCGTGGAATACGATCCGTGGTCTCGGCCGCCCCGCGCGCTCACTGCAGGGCCAGGCCCGCGTCCTCCCTTCCTCCCCTGCCCTCCTCCAGCAGCGCCGGCCGCAGCAGCCCAAAGCCGGCCGGGGACGGCGCCGACTGCAGCCGGGCGCTCCGCTGATTCACGGAAAGGGGCGCCGGGGTGGGGTGGGTGGTTGGGTGGGTGGAATCTGCGGCTGCGCATGCTCGGCGCGAGGCCGCGGCGGGGTGGGGGGGGCGTGGGCCGGGCGAGCCAAGCGCATGCTCAGTCCGCCCCATCTGCTCTCCTCCCTCCTCCCGGTCCCCATCCAGTGCCGCAGCCGGAAAACCGCAGCGGCGGCGGCTGCAGGGGAGCGAGGCGCCGGCTGCGGGAGGCGGGAGGCGGGAGGCGGGAATACACACGAGGACCAGGGCGGAGCCGAGGGCCCGGTGCTTTGCTCGGCATCGGCCGCGAGCTCCGCCGAGGAGGCGGCGGGGCGGGCGATTCTGACGTCCCGGGGAGGAGGGGGAGGGAGGAGGGAGAGGGGTGGGTGGGAGGGGGCGGCCGCGAGTGAGGCGGGGCGTGCGCGCTGCGCTCGGCTCCGCCATGGCCGGGACCTGATCGCCCCGGCTGCCCCGCCGCGCCCGAGCGTCCCGGGCCCTCGCGGCCGCCGCCCTCCTCCTCCTCCTCCTCCTCCTGCGAGCCCGTGTGAGTCCACCGAGACAAAGGCGACCTCGGCGGGCGCCGCCTCACGCCTGTGCCCGGGGGCCGCGGCGGCGGGGCTCGCGATCGGCACCGCCGAGCGTCTGCGCGCCCGGAGCCCCGCGCCCCGCGCCCCGCAGGCCCGGCCCCCAGTGCCCTGTCGGCCGCACCATGTGAATTCGGAGCGGCCGCCGTGAAAGATGGGGGATGCTGCGGACCCGCGGGAGGTGAGGAGGACCTTCATTGTCCCGGCCATCAAGCCCTTCGACCACTACGACTTCTCCAGGGCCAAGATCGCCTGCAATCTGGCCTGGCTGGTGGCCAAAGCCTTCGGGACAGGTAAGCGGTGTCATCCCTTCCTCTTCCTCCCGGTGCTGTCCACATCCCGGTTTTTGTTCCTGACTCCAACCCCCCTCCCTGCCTTCCTCCCGCCCTTCCTCTCTCCTTCCCTCCCCATGCATGTCTTCCGGTGCAGGTTCAGGGAGAGGGTGATGGTGGTGATGATGATGATGGCAGGCTGGCAGAGGGAAAGAAAGAAGGCAGGGTGTGTGGTCTTCAGCGAGGTGCCCTTGACTGATCGCGGGAGGAGGGTTGGCCGGCCCGGTCGCCTTTTATCGGGTAGCGTGAGTGAGTGTGCGTGTCTGAACTGAAGGATCACAATTGTCGTGTTTTCCCAAAATGGCTATAATTTGTGGCGTTCCCCTCATTGTGCTGCATACATTTCCCACTCAGTCATGATCGTGGTTGCCCTGCCAAGAAATCTTGAGTTTCTTTATTACTGGGAGAAGGCGGATGGATGGTCCGTGGTACTGTATTGATTTTGACATTTGTAATGGTGGCTGCTATTCAGGCTCTCTAGGATGAAAGGTGGTCCCCGTGGAAGTGCAGCCTTCCATACTCCTCATCTCAAATCCTCATCAGGCCACCCGTTAAAACCAGTCTTGGTTCTCACTTAATGTCGTCGAGACATATTCCTTTTTCCAGATGTATTTTGACAGCACAAAATCAGATAAACAAAACGTCCTTGCTTTGGGGTTTCCTTTTTGAAGTAGAAGTGATTTTTTTTTTCGGGGAGGGGGGGCATGTGCTGTTGACACAGAAACCCTGTAGTACAGTGGCAATTCAACACTCCCTTCATAGCCCAGTCTTTGCAGAATAACAGGAAAGGGACCTCTCCTGCTGTAATTCCTTAGCTCTTGCTTTAGGAGCTCATGTTGTGGAATGCTTTAAAAAAAAAAAAAAAAAAATCAGAGAAGTCCGGCAGTGCTTGCATACTGTTGTCTGGATGTTTTGTGGACGATGACTGATTTCCAGTTTCGGAACTGTGGAAATACGTGGCTTAGTGGTTTAATCGTGCTTGAGTGTTTAACCTTACACATAGGCGAGTGTTTTCAAGGTTAAAGTAGATTCATTCTCTCGTTTAGAAAAGAATTTGCATTAGTTTAGAAGGAGTTTTTATGTTAATAGGAAGCACAGGTAATACTTCTAAAAAAATGACACAACTAACGGGAAGCAGTATATGAAGTATCTATTTGGAAAGCAAATGTGGCTCTTCACATGCTTGGAAAACGGGAACTGACAGGAGTTTCCTGTGTGGAAGGAACCTAGAACACAGAGAGGACCAAGTGAACGTTCTGCCGTTCACCCTCCCTGAGGCTTTTGAGCAGAAATGCCCTACTTTGGATGTATGTCAGGCTGGTCACTGGATTCTGGAGTACTAGACCACCCTTGGGAAGAAAGGAAGTGAAGGGACATACTATCAGTGGGTTCCGACTCACAATGCTGATGTCAGTGTGCCCCACGTTTAAGCAGCAGGAAGCCAGGGCAGCAGTTGGCATGGACAAAAAGGTCTAAGGCCTTAGGAGAGCAGCTCACAAGTTGACACAGTTTTTAAAGTGTGTGTGTGTGTGTGTGTGTGTGCGCGCGCGCACGTGTGCATGTATTAATGTGTGTGTGCTTGAGTGTATGCGTGTTTGTGCGAGTGTATGTGTGTATGTGTGTGCACACCAGTGTGTGTGCGTGCATGTGTGTGTGTGCGCGTGTGTGTGCATGCGTGTGCGCGCGCATGTGCTGAGACATCTCCCTGTGTATGTTCAGGGGGGTTGTCCTCAATAAGGAGCCCAGACTGACTTCAAACTCGCAGTAATCCTCTTCCTTAGCACTAGGCCTCAGTGCTAGGGTTAGAGATAGGTGTCGTCCTGTCTCCCCTTTACTCTGCTTTATCGACAGTCTTTTAGAAATGTTCAAATTGTTGTATTACATTTATATGCCTGCATGCATGTGCACACACTTACCCGTCAGAGGACAACTTGCTGGAGTTGGTTCTCTCTTTGCCAGGTGGGCTCCAGGCTCCAGGCTCCTCTCTTTACCAGGTGGGCTCCTTGTCAGACGCTGAAGCAAGGGCTTCTGTCCACCGAGCAGTCTTACTGGCCCCTTCCTAACTTTTGATATACAACATATCATTAGTTTTAGAACTGTATGTTGGAAAGGCAATTCAAAATGACTAACACAGACTAAATTGTGGGCAAGGAGTAAATACATTGAATTACAAAACCAGTAAGAATAGCATTGTGATACCTAGAAAGCAGATATGAGATATTTACATGAATAATATTCTTGTCCTGAAAAGTATTCCAAAGGACCCATCTTTTAGAGAGTGTGTGTATTCATTAGTTTTTGGTTTTTGAAAGACAGTGTCTCATGTTGCCTAGAGTGGCCTTGGATTCACCCTATAACTAAGAATGACACTGAACTCCACCCATCCTGCCTCAGTTTCTGGAGGGTGTGCTGGGGATTATGGGCCCCAGTCTTAATAGTTTGATTTTCTCCAAGACTGTAGCTATGGTTTTGTTTAAATAAAGAATGAGTTTGTGTAGATGAATTTACAGCCACAGCAGGTATTCTGGTCACTAAAGAGGAGGCTCAACTGTGCGATGAGGGCTGCTGTGTTTGGTAACAACACATTTAAGAGGTGAAGTGGCTGAGGTTGCCTTAAACGTTTTGTTGGTTTGACTCTTCTACCTGATGGGTGTAGAGTCTCTTGGAGTGACTCCCTCTCTCTCATTCCACACACTCCTGTGTGTGTGTATTGTATGACAGGGTTTTACTGGAAAGCCCTGGCTGGTCTCCAACTCACATGCAGACCAGACTGGCCTGCAACCTATAAGGTTCTCCTGTCTCTGCCTTCTAAGTGCTGGGATTGAAGGCATGCATCACTATATTCCGCGTGCGTGCGTGCGTGCGTGCGTGTGTGTGTGTGTGTGTGTGTACACAGGTTGCTGTGTAGCTCTGGCTAGCTTAGAATTCATGGGAGTCATCCTATTCGGCCTCTTGAGTACTGGGATTGCAAATGTGAGCCATCATCCCCCCCCAGGCCCATTCTATAGTGTCAGTTTATCATTTTAACCTTAGTAGCTATATTTCCTTTGTGTGTGCGCATGTGTGCGCGCATATGTGGGCGCATGTGTGTGCCTCTGTCCCTGTCCTGGCCTTAGGCAGAATTGCTCTCCGTTCTTTGAAACAGGGTTTCTCATTCATTGAACCTGCAGCTCACCAATCTGGCTAGAATTGTCTGGCTAGCAAGCCCCAGGGATTTTTTTTCTTCCCTCTGGGTGCTGGGATTATAGGTAGGTGCTCCCACCAATCCTGGCTTTTTTTGTGTGGGATCCAAAGTCAAGTTCTCTTGCTTGTGTAACAAGCACTTTTACTTAAAGACAGCGCCATCTTCCTAGCCCCTCTTCTCCCTTATCCCATCTAGTTAGTGGTATAAAATCATTTGCTGTTGTAAGTAAACCTTGTCACATTTCTTTATGTCCCGGCAGATATTGTTAAAATCTTACAGAAGTCCTGACTCCTAAATATTTACAAGGACTGTTAGAGCATTGAGCAGCCATGAGGTGAACAGAGACTCCGAGCGGAGAGGACATTTGGGACGTTATTGCAAGAGTCTAGGCAAGAGGTGATGAGGGCTCAAGGTGGGGTGGAAATAGTAGTGCACCAGCTGTATTCATTGAGCAGTTACTGGGTATCATACACTTGACACATAGTATCTCATTTTAATCCTAGTGATGGCCTTAAGAGGTGGAAACTGTTACTCCTCCCAGTTTTACTGAACAGGAAAATGAGTCTCCCGCCCTTATCCAAAGGCATCAAACCAGTGCAAGGAACTAGGATCAAAACCAGGGAAGTCTGACTTGGTGTCTGCTTTAAAAGTTAAGAACTATCTTACACGGGCCAGAGGAATGGAGAAGGAGCAAGTGGCAGAGAGGAGGGGCTGAGGAAGTTTAACCCTTTGTGCTTCTAAAGGACTGAATTTGGATTTGGGATCCATGGGAGATTTTGAAGAGTATGAATGGGGATAGGGCCGCCCCAAGATTCAGAGAAAGGGAAATTTGGAGACTTTTGCGACTGGGAAATAAAACTGTGACACAAGTTAATGGGGAAGCTGCAGGGTGGATGGGAAGGCAGCTGTTTTTGACATTCTTGAGCTGGGTGTTTTAAGTCCAAGTAATTGTCTGAGAAACCCAGTAAAGCCAGTGGTTACGAATGAAGTGTGATCCCGAAGCCGAGGCTGGAGTTACTAATTTGGTATTCTGTGGATAGTAACTGCAACTGGAGTTGCAAGTAGATGTGACTGCAGAGGACGAGGAAAAGGTTAAAGACAGTTCAGAAGGAAAAGGAGGCAGAAGCAGAGTGCTTGCAGTTAAGAATTGCGTTGTGGGAGCATGCAGGCTGTGAGATGGCTCAGCTTGACTTTGCTCCCCAGGAACTGCATGGTAGAAGGAGATAACTGACTCCAGTGCACATGCACTGTGACACAAGCCTCCCGCCCCCCCCAATAAGTAGATAAATTAACACATGTTTAAATTTTCGTTTAGAAGAAAGGATGATCGCGCTGAGACCCTAGGAGTAAAGGTGTTTGACAAACAGTGGTTTTAAGCAAAGAGGAAAGTCTAGCTGCTGTATAGGTAGGTCAGGATAAGAGCTGCCCAGTGGGGACAGTGACATTCAGAGAGACCGGTAGGGATGGAGAGTGGTGATGGAGGCTAGTCTGGAGAGATCACTTTGAGCTCAGCAGTCTGAAGTGAGGTCTGTGTAGGAAAGGAGGCGGTTTTAAACAAGACCCTGAAAATAAGGCATTGAGGATGGAGGAAATGGTTTGTATGCAGGCCATGGAGGGAGGACATCCAGGCGCCAACATAGAGTTGGCGAGGTTTGTGTCGTGAAGTCAAGGGAGAGCTAGCTTGGAAGGTAATTAGTGCACGGTAGGACTTACGACTGCATTTTGTTATTGCTGTTGTTGTCAGTAGATAAGTTATCCTAAACACACTGAGTTAAAA